TATAGACTAGCTTAAAACGTTTGTTTATTACAACAAATTATCAATAATCATGATAAGACTTTTAGTAATTATAGTACCTATTATTATATTAGTATTAAGTAGTTAGGTACAAATATTATCCGAAATATTAAATACAAATTACTTTCAACAGTTTGATATYATTACAAAATCATATTTTTTATTCCGGCATTTAATAGAACTTCTCTAAAGATACAAGTGGCGTATAAAGATCGGCGAGTTACAAAAAAAATTAATATTTCAACCCTCCATTGAATTCTAATTATTTTCAATCAACACCCGTATCAACCATACAGGTTGAACCCCCTTCTAAATTCGCCACTGAGAGATAGTATACCTACTAAATCAAAGATAAATTAAAAAGCTATGGGGAAATATTTCTATGAAACACCCAGATATACACGGATCTTTTAATTTTAATATTAACGTTAATTATTATTCCAATTACCCACCCCAAAAAATTTATCTTGCAATATTTATTGATTACGTATTTACGTGACCTATTGCGTACTATGGTACCTATATTAAGCATATCTACTATTTTAGTTAGTAAATGCTAAAAATCAATAGCTACTTAATATTCCGAGAAATTCATTATTCTTACCTAGAGGTATCACAACAAACRAGCCGTAAAAAATGTTAAGTACCAAGTCATGTGGCTCTTAAATTTAAGTTTTTAGATACTTAGGTACCTTTATTAGGTAGGTATGTTAAAATGATTTAATCACCATTACAATATAATATTAATAACATTTTTAATTTCATTAATTAAAGGATATAAAAATTAAACTAAATGAGAGGGCATTCAGAACATGGGCGTCCCCAGGGGAGGCAAGACGGGGCACTTGCCCCCCCCCCTGGAATAATGTTATTTCCACAGCAATTGATGGTAAAATTCTGGTATAGTAATGTTTTTTAATGTTTTAATTGTAATAATAATACCTACCTAATTGTAATAACGACGAAACACAATGATTTATTATGAATAAAATGTAGGTATAAAAAAATTTTCATTTATTTTTAAAATTAATTTTGCCCCCCTCTAGAAAAATTTCTGGGGACGCCCATGATTCAGAAATATCATTAAGAATGAAAATCACTTACCTACTAAAATCAGGGCAGTTACTAGTTGCTGCAGTGGCGTATTTGAGGGCGAATCACGGTGACTGGATGAATGAGGTGCTAAGGGTTTCCACCCCACAAATWGGAATAATTATTATAATAGTATAATAACATATTATACCTACATTATACAACAATGTATTACAATAAATTATTATTTTTTTTTCTTTATTGAAACTTTGTGTTTTTACAATTTATTTCAACATTTACAAAGGTATATATTTACAATTAAATTTAAATTTTACATTTAATATAATTAGATATAATTAAACAGATAGACCAGTTTCACGGATGAAGGATAATATTTGGATTATAACAATTTCAGAATTGRGATTAAGGATAAAAGATAGAGTTAGTYGGATGTTTTGAGATTTAAAAAAATTAAAAAGAGTTAAACGATTAGAGGATAATGAGGGGTAGCTGAAGATGATATGGGAGAGGTCGCAAATTATCTCTTCAGAGTGTTTGGTACAGTAAGGGGAGTCGTTCAGACTTTCAGAGAGTTTATAGGAATGGGAAGGAAGTAGATAATGGCCGACCCGTAAGCGGCTAAATTATGTAATCGAAGGTCTGGATAAATTTAGGTATTAGGTTGGAGACCAGGTTTTTTTTTTAAAATAACGGGAACAACACTTTTATATTTTGAGGCGAAATTAGCCGGAAGACTATTCCTATTGGATGACTAGCGAAACCTACCTCATTTGTTTTAACCAGGAATTTAATAGGTACCTATATGTACCTATAGGTACCACATATCGTAAAATATACAACAGTATGGTCAGTATGGATAAGTTCATGATGTACACCTTGCTTAAAATTAATTTAGATATTTTGAAAATTTGCATACTTGTAATAATTTAGCATATAGATATAACTACCTACGTAAATCCGTTATACTAAGAGTTTCAGGTTCCTTCGGGCTTCGATAAATATTTTTTGAATTACAACATAATAATCAACATTTTTATAGAGGAAACATCTCGAGGGATTAGGGAATTAACCACTACTCTCAAAAAACAAGTGAGGAAAATGTATCGTAATATTATTCTATACGCGGAAATAAGTATGAATATTCAAAATGTTCATAGTAAAGTACATAAGTATTAGATGTAATTTATGAACGTAAGTAGGTATAAGTACCAAGGTACCTATTTTCTAAAATATAGTCTATATCTATGTCTATAAAATACAGGAACTACTTTTATGGCCCATAGGGATAGATAATGGCATTGGCATTGGCATATAATATTATGGGTGGCCCCCTTTTCGGCCAAAATGTACCCTTCCGTTTTCGGCCAGAGTCACTTTTCGGCCAACACTTATACCCTACTCTTTTCAGCCACTGTCACTTTTCGGCCAAAACTTAACGTTTACTTTTCGACCACTGTTCCTTTTCGGCCAGCACAGTTTTCTTTAAAATTTACAATTTTAACAACTGAACAAATTATACTATTTTTATAGTCCTCACTCTTCAATGTAAGTTTAATTTCGTTTATAGTTGGTTTTTTGGAAGTAAAGATAAACCAGCGTTATTTCTTGTTTGATATAATACAATGTAAAATGCTATCCAATCAGTTATAACTTATAATTATGTGTCTAAAGTATATAGGCAATATATAGAAATGCCAAAATGTTGTACCTTATCGTTTCCATCTTATCTAATATATATAATATTATATTACATTATGGAAAACTAATTATATGATATCGTAGACATCAATTTAACACGACACACACACACATTGTATGAAACAATTATAAACACTCAGTATAAAAGTGTTCTAGCATACGTACCTATACTTTTTAGTACCTATCGAGTTGTGATAGACATTTTTTAAATTAAAATTTAAAAACAAAAAAATTACATTTTTTGATACAATCATAACTCATAAATTGTAAATTTTAAAGAAAACTGTGCTGGCCGAAAAGGAACAGTGGTCGAAAAGTAAACGTTAAGTTTTGGCCGAGAAGTGACAGTGGCCGAAAAGAGTAGGGTAGGTAAGTGTTGGCCGAAAAGTGACACTGGCCGAAAACGGAAGGGTACATTTTGGCCGAAAACGGTGACGCCCAATATTATTGTATAGTAAACGCAATGTATAAGTTGTAGCTTGTAGGTAGCTAGATATCTGCATGATAAAATTGACAAACTCTGAAATGGTACCTATATATAATATGTCATATTAATTAGGCATTCTGTTCRAAATACGGTTAAGAATTGTTAAACCTACAAATGTATAGATACTACATGGACACATACCCATCTTAATATTTCAAGTAATTTTTCTGTTTTTCACAATTCTGTCAACCATCTATTTTTAATATTCAATCTATATTGATGCAGAATGGAATTTTTCATAACTTACAAGTTKGTTTTATTTGTAATGTTATTTCTCATTTAAAATACTGATACCATTAAATATTTAAAAGAATACTGAATCATGTTTTCATGCAAACTTATAAAAATTTTAATAGGGACCTTCATTTGAATACCTAATACAATAACGCAAATGYATGTATATTCTTTTCAGCATGATTACTTTTGGGCAACATTATGCCATAACGTTGGCTACTCAACAGCACAAGAATAAAAATCAACCAGAACAACAGCAAGATTATCAAAATCAACAAGATACAGCACCAGGCGGAGTTAATATTCTATTGGGAGGGTAATAATAACGAAATATAATATATTACAAATACATGCCAATAGTTTTGTTTGAATTTACAATTTGCACACAACCACAAATTACAATACACTTCAGAAGCAGTAGATACCATAGCAAACCAAACATTTGAGTCATATTGTTTATGTTTTATAACATCATTTTAACGGTATATAATATTGTATATAAATAACTATATTTTAAAAAACTGAAACATATTTAAATTTTACATATTCTAGAAAAAMTTCATTAAAATAATTAAAATTTAACATTTGAATGTTAACGGTTAATACTCTATTAGGTACTATTAATAAAATAATTGTATAATTTTTTTTAACAATAGGGTTATGATGAGTAGCATGATATTATTTATTTTATGGATGTGTTATTGTTGTCGATGGAAAGATAACAAGTTTGATACAACAACATGTGATGAACAACCACAACCTTTTTGGATTGATGTTAATTCAAACACATACTATGAAGCACTACAATGGTCATTACAACAAGTAATAAACACTAATTAATTATAAACGAAAAAAAAAACAGAAATAATATTTTTTAGCACGGCCAATAGCCATAAAAACAGGCTCAATTACAATGTTTGATAAGTGTAAATACTAATGGTTTAAAAGTCAGCAGTTGACGTTAATGAAAAAATTAATACAACACAGAAAATAGCTGTTGAGTGATTACAGCGAAACAAATACTTAACATATTAATCATTATTAAATACTGCTATCCATAACACTAAATCAAATTTTCTATAAAATTATTAAAAACGATAAAACTTTATAAAATAATTTTTTTTAGGAATGTTGTGAAATACCAGAAACATATTGTTCACCAGAGAGCATGCAGGAAACACCACCAAGATATGAAACCGTAATCACACCACCACCTGGATATGAGGATGTGATGAGGGAAAATTATAAGAAAAAAAAATCTTTATTAGATGTCACAGAAAATAATAGGACACATACCATTTGACCACAGTTGTTTTTATCTTATACACATTATATACTTGCAATTAATTAATTACATTAGGAATTACAGGGAAGTAGAAAATCTAAAGAGATCCGTTCATCATGTTTTGTACAATTTTACTTTATTGTTTTTTGTAAAAATATATTTTACATTTTACTTATAAATTACAGTTATTAGATGAAATTTGGTATGATGTGTTTTAGTATAAAAAATGTTTTTTTCTAAGTTGTTAAATAATCAAAATTTTAGAATTCTTCATTAAATATTTGACATAAAATTATATTAATCAAGCATTAAACGAGCTTCTTTTCCATTGATCATACGTTTCATGCCATGTTTCAGTGCAAACTCTCGCTTGATATATGCAAACAATAAATCAGTGATCAGGAATATCTAGAAAAATATTATATATAAACCATGATATTGATAAACAATTTAATACCATATATTTATATGATATTTATTATTATTTAATACATATATTAAATCATAAACATAAAACAGTGATAAAACCTAATCAATTAAATTTTTTTGAACAAACTGGATATACCTAGATCATAAAAACATTTTTAATTCTTACTTGAGTTGTGGCAAAAGCAAGAGTAACTCCAAAATAGAAATTTGCATTTGCTGAACGTGAATAAATCCACAAATGCCACACAGTAGGAGCAAAAACGGTACAACCCACAAAGAAACATGATACAATAAATGCTTGTTGCATAACTGGAAATTAATATAAAAGTTTATTAAATAATATATATGTATTTTTTTTATAAGCTAATGAATGATATTAATTATTCAGTTGACATACAGTAGAATAGATGTCTATGAATTGGAAGAAGACTGAGGTAAAATCCAACATCTCCTATGCTTGGATATGACTTAAAAACCGCAGTTAATGCTAACAAACTGGTGGCTAACAACAATGGGTCACGGCGGAGACGTATACTTAATGGAATAACATATAGAACAGATGCATTTAATTGAAAAGCACAAACAAATAGTGCACGAAAATGTTCAAACATCTCAGTAAAGAAATACCAAAACAAGCCAATATTTGGTTTTAAATCACGTACATTTAATCTGAAAAAATAAATTATCATATTAATACTTAAAAACCATAGAGTAGAGTAACATTAAAATTAAGTATGTACATAAAGCCATAAACAGAGTCTAGGAATGTCCATTCGTTCATAATGGTATAGCATAAGTACAGAAGTKAGCAACTAATGGTACCACAAGTTAAAAATGTAATTATGAATGAACCAGTCTTATTTTTAGAGTCATTTGGTACACAACTTATCATTAACGGGGCTAGTAGACCAAATGTGTAAAACGTTGGCAATGATGCTAATACTAAGCTCAGACATCCTAATAGTCTATGCCCTAAAAAAAAAAAAATATTCATTAAATAATTTTATTCAGTAGCAGTATTTAAGGATTTAATAAAAGTCAAAATATTAATAATTATAACATTTAGAAAAATGTATACTCTGTCTCAAAAGAGAATAATCAGTGGGCCAACTGATTTACGTAAGTAATGCACATCTCTACATCTCTTACCAAGTTCCCAGTATTAACGTATCAATCGCATCATTCATGATGCGCAACATGTGATTGTTCTCTAACAAAACAGAGACACAGAATATAGATACTTACGTTTTACCATGGAATATAAACATAGTGCTAAAAATAAGTTGTTGAATACTGTTGTTGTTCTTGAAATACAGCTAAACACCGTATATGGGTTAAGCATGTAAACTGAACAAACATAAAACGGATTTATAACTGAGAAGTCATCTGGTATCAATAATTTGCTAAATTCTTTATTGTAGACATGCTTTGTTTTGGTTTGCTGTTTAAGCTAAATTAGTATTAAAATAAGAAAACTATGTAAGTACTACAAGTATTCAAATTGAAAATAAAAATAATATTATGCACTTAACATACCAAATTTTCAGTGTAAATTTTAGACGTATAGTACAATACGAAGGCAGTTATGAGATCACACGCAATAAATACTAATGATACATAAAAATCTGAAAAAGTTGATGTCAAGTGACTGAAAAATACAAGAGCCAATGGAGTCTCGTGAAATAAATCCCCATCATATGGATTGATATTCTCATTGTATAAAGATACACCTTCAATAACTAGAAAAAAAAAAATTAGATTACATTAGGTATTAATTAAGCTGCAGTACAAAAAATAAATTGTATTTAAGTATTTAGGTACTAGAAACAATATAAGTTTGAAACCAAAAAATAAAAATAAATTTTAAGTTTTTTTTGGGAGATTATCACATCACTACAAGGGGGTTGTAATGTAAGTTATTCTTCCTCTTGTACCCATATTGCTTAATTTTATAATAATATCAATATTAAAAAGATACAATTTTCTTAAATAACATATTTTGGTGAGAAATTTATAAATAAAAAAAAGAAATTTAGATATCTGATATTTATATTATATTCATACATTTTTTTCATCAATGATAAGCAGTTCATTCATTTCACCAACAGTTATTGTTGTTAATGGACTCAAATATTTCTTTGAATTTTAAATCTCTTAAAAAATCTTTCTTTATACTCATCATTAGAAAAGCTTCAAGTTTATCTTGGCCCAATGTTGCTCTCAATCTTGTTTTAACTCAATAACCTTTCACAGCTGATTTGTGTGAAAGATAATCTAAGTATGTATTCATGTGCTAAAAATATATTTGTATAGGCAATGGAATGAATATGGTACTAATAAGTTATAAAAGATTTTATAACAACATATCAAACAATTCATACAGTCCTCAATATAGCATTCGTGTAGCAGGCAATCATCTACGACCTCTTTAAGGTGTATCAGGTGATCTATCATATTAAACTAGGTGTAGTTGGTGATCTACAATTATTATTACCTATTATTATATTATATTATACTATACTATTATTATACGCACATTATCGCAGACGATTCATTTTGTTACGATAACGATTAAAGATATTTACAATATGACCAGTCATTAGCAATGTTGCTGATCTCGGAACAGTTTGTTTTAAATTGTTCATCAATCGGAGTTTACCTATAATGCGTATGTCTGAATTTTATAAAATGATTGTTGATGGAAAATCAACACACAGGAGCCAACATCTAGACAATAGGAATATAAAATGTATTTGGTCACATCTTAAAATGAAAATACTTTGAA